CTTTTACTATCATTTGTTTCGGCGCATCTTTGCGACAACTGTTTCCATAAGTCTAGTTGTTCTAGTTTATCATCATTCTTTTACGAGGTCATTATATGTGTTGTATATTAATGTAGAGAGACTTTATAAGTATGCTAATTAAACTCTAGATTAATAATAACTTATACTTGATGTATACAATGCATCGTAAATAGCACTTTCTCACCAAGAATTGGGAAACATAATCTTATCAATTCGTAAGATTTGGTGTCAGGCAAAGGCTCTCGGTCATAACAATCTGAGTGTTTCTTGTGTGTCCAAGCATTGTTCTGAGCTCTTTCTTTATCAGTTTCGTCATCTCATTACACGCGGCAAGATTATCATTGACTTTTCGAATTTTAAACACAAAGCAATACCTTTTTAAACGATTAACTGCAAGATCTTGAATACAATTTTAATAATTAGTTGTTAATAACTAATGAAATTTCGGTGTTAATAATTACTCGACGAAAACGCAATGTAATATCTCACACCTAACATCATTCCTCTTGAAACATTGAAACTTTTGTAAAAAGAAAAATAACAATACCATTGTACAGATTGTAACCATCTAAAAAATGGTTTTGATAAAAAATGAAATAAGTTGGTCTTACCCGTGCGCCATGGCTTCAACTCTTTTATTTTTGTTTATCACATTTTAAATCTATTAAAAACTGATAAATAGACTATTCGCCCGCTAAATTTATATCTAAAAAATTGGTCAAATTTTGATCCGAATGAACCTTGTATATAAAATATAAATATAAAACACAAGTGACATTGTGTTGTTTCTATCTATTTTCGTCAAAAAAGTTAACATGTTAAACCAAAAGTATAAAATGGCTCAATTCTTCTTTTTGCCAACTTTGAAAATTAATTTATAAAAGATATATGGGAATAGAACAAAATCAAAGTTCAGGTTCCATCAATTATTCAATTTAAACAATTTTGCTTTTTCATATGTTACCGGGCCTACCGGCTATAATAGTTTTCATTTCAATTAACTAAAAATAAAAAAATGTTTTACGCATTAAAATATTATATCGCTTGGGTCTTGCGAAGGCCGAATTTACTTAATAACGGGCCTAAATAGGCCCAATAAAAGAACATGGTCCCGCTAATAAAATTTCCCGCCATAGCAGAAAGTCATCATCAACTTCCGTTTTAAATGAATTACTTAAAACTCCCCCAGAAAAGCTTGTGGAGAAGATAAGACAGAGAATTAGAAGTAAGGGTAATATGATAAATGTCAGTGACAAGGGCAAATAGTCAT